ATGGATCACGGATAATCATATATGTAAATGAAATAAAATACAGAAATATTAGAGATATATGAAAAAAATCTAGCTATGAAATATATTTTGTATGATCCATACTGAATATTATCCGACGGGATTATACATATATATTGTAAAAATGTAATGTCAATATGTTATTTATTATGTTAACCAAATTAACCCTTAAAAAAATAACAAATGGCAAAGATATTATTTGACAACCAATGGTGGAAAATAAAATAAAAAAATAAAAGATAGCCAGTGAAGAGAATCTAGAGCCATAGTTCCACGTTTTAGACATGTGTTAAAAATGCAAGTATGTTATTTGCTTACTTGGTACCAAAATCCCTTTTTGATTTTTCTACAAAAATATCCTAATTATTATGTCATTATCCTAACAAGAGAAATTACGTCCTTCCAGATCTATCCTGTCAGTTGGTTTTTTTTATGGATTGCTTTTATATAAAAGGACAATGTTATAAATAAAGTAATGAGGAATTATCAGTTTTGTTTTGTTTTTTTTTTATTATTCGTGGCTGCCTATTTTAATAAGAAACAAAATAGTACATCAATAATCCTTCATTGTGCACATGTCTGTGTTTGGCCGTTTGCCCATGTTGCAAAAAAAAGTAGGTATATTTCTTTGTACCAATTTATAACACGATTTTAAACAAAAATATCACATGTATATGCCACCAGAAATTTTTATCAAAACAATACTATATCTATTAACATTTAAGATCTACAATACTTCATGTTATGAAAGAGTGGTGAAAATAATAATATAAATATACAGAATTTCCCAAAAAAAATGTTTTATCATAATTATCATGGAAATGCACCATTAAAATTAGTTAAAGAAAAATGATAGCAAACATACAATAAATTATGATATTAATCATAAATTTAAAAAGTCATATAAAAGTTTTATAATTTATTTTCATAGTTATCCTAGAACATATTGATTAGAGATATTTTAAAAAATATATCTCATATCCAGATCGGAATTGAATTTATTAACTTTTAAGATAAAATATCTCGATGGATTATTCAAATTTCAAACACTTTTAAGGTATCAAATTTTCCAGAATCTCGAATTTATGTTACTTTGTCCATCCCTAAATTACTATAAACTTTGTGTTATCTTTAATTTTCTTAGTTATAGAGGTTTCGACCAAAAAAAAAAGAGGTTTCACTGCTCATCTTTACATTGATGTTTAGCCAACTTATGTGTTGCGATGATAAAAATGCAGATACTAAGCAACTCAACATACAAGAGTGTGGAGCATAGAGTGATAGTGAACTCGGAGAAAGAGAGAGTTTCACTTGCTTTCTTCTACAATCCTAAAAGTGATATTCCGATCCAACCATTACAAGAACTTGTATCCACTCATAATCCTCCTTTATATCCTCCCATGACCTTTGATCAATATAGACTCTTTATCAGAACTCAAGGTCCACAAGGCAAATCCCATGTTGAATCTCATATTTCTCCTCGTTGATTGTTAGTTATTAAAGAAAAATTAATGTTTTATTGTTTCATGGAATTATTTCATCTGACTTGTATATGCGTACGACCTTTTCTTCTTCTTTAAGTTATACATCGGGGATGATTTGTCTACAAGCAAACAACTATTGAACTATAGAGATATTTCTATACAATTAGTATTTTCTTATATTATCTGTGTTCTTAATGTTAGATTACAATCAAATTTTC